CCCATGGAAGACTGATAGAGCCACCCTCGAGGGCCTCCATGTGGAGGTACGGCTTCGATACACCTCACGATTATAACGATCACGAGTGCTATTGCGGCGGGTTTACCAGACAGTGGCAACGAAATAAAGGGAAATGTGGCATTTGCGGCGATCCCTGGGATTCTCCAACGGTGAGTCTGAAAAGAAGAACGCTGAATGTTAGACGGTCCAGTCAACACCAACTAAAAGTAACATAATATTAACTAATGTTATAATTTCACATTCAACAAAAAATTTAATTGTTATGTAACACCACGTATTATATTATATTTGTATTGTTACGAAATTATAACATATTGATGTTATATTATTTTTATAGTTAGTATTGACTGGAGAGAATCATAAAACATAAAATTTTCTTATATAAATTTGGTTCCAAAGTAATCTCTTTCGATCACTCTGCAATTATAATTTGACATACACCAATGAGTTTTATTTGTTGTCTAAAAATTAAGACCAGAATTGTAATCTGTTTAGTATACAGTGTCAAGAGTAGTCTCATGTCTCATCATTGTGTTTCAAGATGAGCTGTTTGTCACACGACACGGCCTGCATTGGCCTTGCCGAATAATGGGAATCTGAGAGAGATTTAATTCTAATGACAATGGAAAGTCTGCGAAGGTATAAGTTATTCGCGACTCAAAGATGATAATGCAGCTACGCTATATGTATAATTACTTCCCGACATCCCTCTTACAACGCGACTACACACCATTACGCGCGATTCTTCGCTCTGTTGACCGTGGAATACCATACAATACCGCCGTAATGTCGACACGTTTTTGAAAATTATGCAGTATGAATGTGGAAGATCTGCGTGTCGACTGATTCTTCTACCTAAATGAATAAGTTAATGAATAAAATACGCCGAAATTTAAATAAAGTAAAAAAAAGTCATTTGGATGAGAAAGCAATTATTAAGCTTGAGACAACCCAGTGAGAAATGACAATGGAATCAATGTCGAATCGATGTCGATTCGACGTCGAAATCATCGAATCGACGTTGATTTAACGTCGATTCCATTGTCATTTCTCACTGGGAAATGTCAAGTCGATGGAACAAATAACATGATTAATGCGAAATAATTATTCGATCGACTCGATAATTATTAGAGTCACAACTCTCAACGGGAAAAACTTTCATCAAACATTTTCGTTCGGAAGAAAGTGCTACTATAGTGGCTACGCTAATAACATTTTCGACGCTATTTGTTAGACGCTTATTCGTTTCTCCCTTTTCTATCCCTAATGAAAGTGAGTGAAATGTACCTTGCTGCGAAGCGCAGTTTATTATTCTGAATTAAACGACGTGCAATGACTCGTGACACGAGAGAAAGAAGTAATTACTTTTCTCCCTGTTTTTAATAACAGAACGGCTTCGCAACCGAGAACCGATTATTGGTACGTTGTTTTCCTTAGAATCATGCATCCAAGCACGCAATGAAATCATGCATTTAAAAAGTAAAGCAAAATCTTTTAATTGTTTTTCATATCACATGAATTAATATTTCATACAGAATTTTTGTCGTATTACAAATTGTCGAAAATGAGCTTCATTCAAGTTCCCAAGTAGAACACGGAATCATAATTGTGTCATATAATAATGGTACGTATCACAGAACATCATCTCATGACGTCATTTGATACCTAAAAATTTATAAGTGACAAATGAGGTGATGTCCTCATGACTGGTGTTCTACTTGGGTTAGGATGATAAACAAAATTCGATCTATTCCGGATTTAATTGCGAATTAAATCATCGGATTACAGCATACAAAATTATAAGAATTTTGCTTTCACTCTGATTGTGCATAGCGTTGACTACAGAACTCGAAAGAAGAAAAGAACGGCCGTTACTAATCTCTCATAGATTTCGTGATTTCGTGTCTCGTATTCCTATAATCGACCGCATTTTCGTTACGAGGCTTTTTATGCGGGATGCTTGGCCTTGATATGTATGTCTGATATCGTATGGACGAAAGTAGCCCGAAACGGAAGTGAAATCCGTTTTCTTTTCTCTCTCTCTCTCTCTCTCTCTCTCTCTCTCTCTCTCTCTCTATCAACATTCGCATTTATTTTCTTCCTCGCTTCACATACATGCAAACGGAGTTTTGAAAGAAAAATATCCTATACTAATGTAATATTAGTATATATTATATATATACACTGAAAAAAATGCATGTAATTTTACACGGAAATTACATGTTCATGACTGGAAAATTGCCTAAATATGATTGGAAATTTACAATTTCCAGTAAATTTCCAAACATATTTATGTAATTTAAATAATTTTCCAGTCATATACATGTAATTTCCATGTAAAATTACCTGCATTTTTTTTCAGTGTATATATATATATATATGCAGAAAGATTATATATAACGTATTAAGTATGAAAAAGGAACTGCAGTAAATATTTTAATTTATTCCATTTTATTTTACTTTCTAGCCACGTGTTCATGAAACGGGCGGCAAGTACGGGAATGGCGTGATCGTTCGGCGTTATCGGACCGGATCGGTCATACCGGTCCGTGTGGAGTTGACGGCGAATCATCACGGCTA